GCGACATCATCACCATGGTTGGAAAACAGAGGAAACAGGGGAGCGGTGGGCAGAGGAGGAATTTTGCGACGAGATTGGATTTTGGAGAGGAAAAGAAATTAAAAGGAAGAGGCAAAAATGATGGCATGTCCAGAAATTGAGGGACATGGCCCGAATCATCTCTGGATTGGAATTTGGACGCCTTTTTCTCTGCCTCTCCTCTGTTTCTCTTTTTTTCTTTTCTTTTCTTTCTTTATCTCTTGCTCTGATTCATCCTCGTCGTCTTCTTTTCCCTCTCCTTTTTTTCTTTTGAATTTTGATTAAATTACAAGTTTGTTCCCTAAAATTTAGATTAGATTTGTTAAAAAGCATCCATAGATTTTGGAACTTTCAATTTTATGTCTAAAAAATCTATGATGAATTGTCAATCTGAATCTGAATCTCAATGGATTAAAGTATCTATCTTTGACAACAGTGAATATTGAAAAATATTGATTAGATTGAAGATTTATTAGACACGGAATTTGAGAGTTAAGGATCTAGAATACAGTACACTTCTAAAGTTAAAAAGATTTATTAGGCACCAATTTAAAAGTTTAGAGATTAAATTTGTGATGTAAGGGTAAAATTTTGAAATGTATTATTGTTAATGTGGATCACAGGTGAGGTTGTGATATGATTATACACTATAGTGTGGCCATGGAATTTGGAAAGCACAGCTCTTTTGGTTTCAAAGGTTGGGGTTTGGTGGGGGCAGGTAAGAGCTACTACTGGCTACTGCCACTTTTTCTAATAATTCTATGCCATCTTTTTATCTATCTTCTTCCTTTCAATGATGGTTTTTTCTTTTTTTCTTTTTCCTTTTTTGTGTGATTTGTAAAACTTAATTACCAAAAAGATTTATTAACAAATATTAATTACCAAAAAGATTTGTGAAGAAGTTTGGTTTGGTGTCTTTGTAACTATACGGTGAATTTGTGGATGGTGTAAAATAATGCAGGATTTATGTATCCTAAATTTTAATTTTAAATCAATTTATAGAATGTATAATTTGAAACGTAGATTTTATAGTTTTGACTTTTGAGTAAGCTTATACATTTATGAAATCTACTTTAATCTATCAATTTTATATTTTATATTTAATAGTGATTTTATAACGGAAAGTTTTGTAAATAAATCTACATAATTTCCTTTTTTCTCTAATTAATATTTGATAGTAACTTGAGTCTCAGGTTAATTTCTGACACTTTTTTTAGTTCAAATGAAAGTGCAAGAGCAGTGATTCAAACTTTTTATTATTATTATTTTTTTAAGAATACACTTTATCAACAAACTCATAATAACTTTACTTCTTCCGAAAATAAATAATGTTTAATCCATCAATTAAATTTAAGAGAAACCAGTAAATTAATTATTAGTAGCTTTAACCTTTAATTTCTTTAATGAGAATTAGTTGATCTAATGATAATAAAGAGAACAAAAGAAATTGATACAAAAAATAATTATTTATAATAACAATAAAGCTGCAAATTGAAAGCTGAAACTTGGACTAGAGGAATAAAGTCTCAAAAGGGTGTTAAAGTTGATAAAAGCAATTTCTTTCAATTTGTAAGAATACTAAAAGAAAAAACGTCATCATTTAGTTTATAATTTTCCATTAACTTCCAAAAATATATATTTCTTTACTTATAAAAATAGATTTTGAAGTACTATTCATTTTTTAAATTAAAATAAAAAAAAACAAAAAAACATGATTCAAATATGAAATAAAAGTGAAATTAAAATAAAAAAAAAAAAGGTAAATGGTTACCAAAAAATGTTGAACGTCTAAAAGTGAAAATTTTCAGACATTTGTGAAAAATTAGTTGTGAAATGCGAATGATTTGATAGTCAACTCAAAATAAAATGTATTGGGCCAATTGGGCCCTTATCTCAAAATGGACATGAGCCCAAGAATATTATTTTCGAAAAGGAAAAAGGAAAAAGGAAAGGATAGACCTTTATTTTATAGATTATAATTTTATAAAATGATTCTTTCTTGTTTTTAAAAATAAATTCCAGGATGGAATCCAACAATTTACCCCTATATCTTTTTTTATATATATTTAAATATTATTAAATTATGGAAATTCATTTTTGAAGTTAAATTTTAAATCCCTAATTTTATGAAAAATTTTCTAAAATAAAAAATACTCAAATACCTAAATTTCTTTGTATTCTTCGAAAAGAACTACCCGTTGTCGGTTTCTTTGTCTTCTTCATAAAAAGTATCATTTTTTTTCAATAGTCTTCTCATTTTTCTCAGTTTCCTCGCCGACAGCAGCTTGTCTTGCTTTTCACCATTGCTTTCGATAGGCATCCTAGCCTTCTTCGTTTTCTGTCGTTACCATCGCCAGCAGCCCGTTTTCGATTCGCTTGCTTTTCACCATTGTTTGATAGCCCATTTTCTACCATTTACATTTTAAAACTTCTAGATTTGTTTATGATTTATGATTTTGGGTGTTCGAGTTTGAGGTATTTTTAAGAATAGTTGTTCAATACGGGGAATTATCCTAGTCTATGGATTTTTTTAGTATATGCTAGTGTGTTATTTGATTAGGTAGTTTATTTGCTTTGTTTGTTAATTGTAGAGAAATATAATCATTATATACTTTATAGGCTAAAATATAGTATAGAGGGGAGTTTTTTCATTTATTTTTAAATTTTTTTTTTACCGTAGGAAGGAAAAAAAAAAAGGAAAAAGTGTAAGGCTTAGGTACGAATATGTTTTCCAACTACTCCCAAGAAAAAAGTCCACCATTTCATTGGTAATTCTTGTTTGTGCAAAAATTAGCATAATAACAATGTGAACATAATCAAGTCAATTTTTATTTCATTAATTTAATACGTACCTACGAAATATAGAAAATAGAAAACGTAAAAGTTGATTCAAAATTATACCAAATCGAATATTTAAAATACTGTCTCATGTACATCTTAGACTTTTTTTTATTAATAGGAATATAATATCTTGGACTTGGCTTTGGGTTATTTAGGAAAAAAAAAAAAAGACTAATGTGAAAAGATCTGGGTTTTCCCCTAAATTTCATTGTTAATAACTTTGTCAAAACATATTTTTATTTATAATGATTCTATTTTAATATATCAATTTCTTATTTTCAATTTTTTTTTTAATTTTATTTGACCACCTAATAAAGAATGGGAAGTAGTACAATAATGTAATTGGTCATTGTTTTTTCAATATCTTCTCAACTCTCTTTTCCAAATTTCTAATTTCTCATACTATATATCATAAATAAATTCTGTATGAATATCTCTCTCTCTCTCTCTCTTTTTATTTTTATTTTTTTGCCTTTAAGTTTAATTCAACGTAACCTTGATATGTATCACCCCTTAATAATAAAATTCACGATATTTATACATTCTAAGAACTTTCATGTTAATAAAAATGCTGTAGTTATATGTAAATAATAATTTTCTATTTTAACTATCTTTTTTTTTTTTGACAAAAACTTTTTTTAACTAACTACAGTTAATCAAGTCTATTAAATAGTTACCAAATGTGTCATGTTCGTTGGGTGGCTTGACCTTCATTCACCAACCCATTCAATTTTGTGATCTAGTGAGATTAGTCGAGGTGGGCACAAGCTGGTCCGGACATCACAGATATAAAAAGAAAAAAGATTTGACAAAGATTTCAAATGTGTTAGAAAGAAAGATGAGAAATGTAATAAAGAAATATAATAAAAGAAACCAAAAAAACTAATTTATGCCTTTTCCTGTGAGAATATATCTATCCTCGTTGAAAATTTGGCAGCTCATTTTTTCTAATTACTTTTATATTTATTTTTCATAATTATCGATAATTAAATGTGATGAACAGATATAGATCATCCTCATAACTAAGGGTCTGTTTGGTTGGAAACTCAAATTTTGTTTTTTTTGTTTTCTGATCAATATGTGTTTAGTAGCTAGGATTTGAGAGATTTGTTTTTGAAAACTGTTTTCAGATATTGTGATCCAAATAGTAGAAAATTTTGAAAACAACCTTTTTATGTTTTCAGTATTTGAAAATTTTAAGATACAAAATTAAATTAAAAATGATAAAAATTTTGATAAATATATTATTTCCTGAAGTAATAGATGGACTGTAACTAGATTCGATTCTCTTTTTTATTCTTGGTTTTAGAGTTAGATGCCCTACTCAAAGGATCTCTCCCTAAAGCAGTAAACTGATCCCCAGTCTGAAACAAAAGCTTGAAAGTCAGGAAACTCGATAGGACACAAAGTTATTAATAGGGCGAGAAACTTCTCTCCCCAGCATCGTCCCACATAGAAAGAAAGAGTGCAGAGCCCCGACCTGACCTGTGGGAGGATTCACTTGTCCCCTTGTCCATAGGGACCTCGTGGCATACAACCGAAACGACTCCCATTAGATAGCGGGTAGGGGTTCATGACGAGTGGGCATGAACTGTAACCAAACAAACAAAAGTCAGCCAACCACGAATTCCTGAACCAACCAAGTCTTTGGCCAGGGAACGGGAGAATTCCCACTACTGCTGGCAGGCCAACCGAGCCGTGAGTGCACATCCTAAATAAAGTACCGTAGGAAAGCTTCTAACAGAAGCTTTTGAAATGCCACTGCGGAATTGGGGGTTCGCAACAACTTTGACATTTCATATCAGATGCCGTTTATGCATAGCGAAAAGGAGCATTGGAAGGGTCTTAGCTCCAGAAGGTCCTAGCTATGCCATGTGTTCAATACAAAATCTGGAAAGCTGCAGGGATGACAAAAAGAGGGCGCGTTAGCGCCCTTCCTTTAGTTGCCCCCACCCTATCTATTCATCTTTTGGCCTGCGGTAATGTAATCAGGATTTCATCTCCACAATTCTTTTTTTCTATGAAAGCAAGAAAGTTTAGTTCCAAATTCTGCCTTATTCCATGAGATCTAGAAGCACTTATGCAACCTTCTCTCTCCCCATTTTCCCTATTGCTATTTTTTTTTTACTTCTTTCAATGGGGAATGCAGGCCTTCCTTAGAAGTTGTCGCTCGATCGAAAGGATATAACAAACACATACGAAACCTTAGCTTCGCTGACTTTTGAGGTATAACCTTTGCCATGACATTAGTGACTTAACTCTTCGCGCTTCCCACAAGCTTTTCTTATAGAGAGAGAGTAAGGGGGCGGTATGGAAGATTGGTCCGTTCTGCAAAGCTGAGCTTTTCGGTTCGCTCCCCCGGCCTTCTTACCGGAATGACAATTCCATCTATCACTTTATTGTGAAAGACCAGATCGGCCCGTTCCGCCATAAGTACCTCCATATTACGCTGAGTGAGGTTCGACAATAGGTTTGAGTCAATGACTTCCATTTTTCTTTCTTTATACCTTTTTCAAGGTCTACCAAGACAGAGAAAGATGTACACGAGTTTGGTAAAGCATTCACCTATCGGTCACCCCTCAACCAACTAAGACATTTATGAGCAGTTCCCCTTACGCGCTTTTTTAGGAGGAGTTCAGTGTAGTCGGATGGAAGGGAAGCACATATCGAAAACGAATCGGGCATCTATAGGGCGAACTTGATCCTCTTCCCCAGGGATCCCAGATGATTCGAGTCAAATCGACCTTCCCTCTCATCTCAAGGACATCGAGGTGCCAAACCTTCTCGTCGATGTGAGCTCTTGGGGGCTTGCTTCTATTCTTTCTCTCCGAGCGATGAACCGTGGTTGTTTAGCTGTACGGAATCCCTAGGGAGAACCCTCTAGTGGTCCTTTTGACATAACATTCTCGGCTGCCTCCGGTCCGGTAAAGCCTCTTTGAGTTGAGTCCATAGAGAGCCTTTGAAAGCTTACACAAATAGTTTGGATGAATAGAGTCTTCATAATCGGGAGGTTGGCGGCCTCGTCATCGAAAGCGGCTTCCAATTGCTCGGAAATTCTAAGCTATATGGGGGGCCCGACCATAGGTTCAAATCCTGCCACCTTTCTTGTGGATCATCTTGTGGTTACCAAATTCCGACCGGTTCCTAGAGCGCCACACCATTCCACCCATCATTTTTTTACATGGTTAGTGTCTTGAACGGGGGCCTCCGTTTGCTTCAAACTCTATTACCCCAATTCGAACCTCTTTTCCTGGCATAGTTTTTTTTGGTTTTTTCATGTTGTCAAAGATTTGAACAATGAAAATAGATGGCGAGTGCCTAATCGGATTCACGTGCCTTCCAGAACCAGGGGTCTTCGAGCTTGCTGTGTACGATTAGCCAGCCTTGCGGAGACAAAAGGATTAGACGTCCCCCTATGCTACGGTTCCCTGCAGTTCGATATTTGTTGGGGTCATAGCCTAGAAGCTTAGGTTTTGGAGGCGGGAAAATGGAGCTTACCGCGCTGAGTTACGTCGTAGGCGAAATGAGAGACGGTGAGATACAATGTTAATGTTGTATTTGTCTTAGTTTACTAACCAGGAAGCAGCGCCCTAGTAAAATCTGGATCTTGTTCCTTTGCGAGCGGAAGTCAGAATGAATACCAAGACTCCTTTCTTTTACGCCTTAGTAGTTATTCAAGCGGATCACTTTGTTTGGGAAAAGCATCTGTAGCTATCTGTAGCTGCATGGAACTCAATTGATGATTTCTAACCTTCGTCCCCGTGAACCTCTATTTCATCAACTGAAAAAGGCAAGTCTTTGACAAAGGCCATCCATTACGAAAAGACCTTCCTCTGAGTGGATATGTTGAAGTACGCTATGATAATCCAGAGAAACGTGTAGTTTCTCAACCCATATGTAGCATTGGCTAAGTTGAAATAAACTCAAGTCTCAGTAATTCTACAAATTACCCAAGAGTTAAAGGTTAGAAACTCGTGTATAAAAAGCCAACTAATTTTGTATGTGAGAGTAGTTGAGAAATTCACCTTTGTAAAATTTGTACGGTGAAAAATTAGTAAATATCTTCTCCCTGCAATGGATGTAGGCCGTGTGCGGAACCACTTAAAAAATTGGTGTTCTTCTTATCCTTCCCCTTCATCTTCTCTCCTGTCTTCATCTATCATTTTCGTCTTCTCTGAGAGCATCGCCAGAAATGGTTTCTCTGATCCCATTTTGTTCCAGCGTGCACTAAAGAGAAGCAAGAGGCTTAAGATGAGGTAAAATCTCAACACCATAAGGAAGATGAGAGGAAGACATACATAATAGTTGGTTCGTTATTTGTCTCACTCCCTCTCTGATTTTCTCGAGGCCCGCAATGAGTCCTCGTTGAGTCGAATTGATCGTGTGTCATGTGCAACGTCCATCAATGATGATTCATTAATGTCCATCGATTTAGACTCCTTCCCCCTTCCTAGCTACGAATAAGATCGAGAGGAGACCAGAGCGTGACTAGGGAGCAAGCTCTTAAAAACTCTCATTTTCTCGTTGGGGTTCTTAGGAGCTTCCTTCTGACAGCTTGATTTTGAAAGTTGCCTAATGTCGTATCCCCATTCGATAGATCCCACCTATTTAGAGAAAATTGAGCCACCGAGGGCAAACCACCCCGACGCCCAGCTCCGCTGGAGAGACCTCGAGTATATCTAGATAATAGGTAGAGTAGCCCACTCCCAACCTTCACTCAGTCGTCATATGATGGGTAGCCCAGTGTAAATGTAAAAAAACCATTGAGAATGACGCTTGGAAGATGAATGCATAATACCAGTTGTTTGATGCGAAGCAAAACTCGAAGATCTATTGCGACATAAATTTCCCAAGTCCCGCTCCGACGGCCCGACGAGTAATCTACTTAAAAGAACCCAAACATTTCATGATAAAGGAACGCGTGGGTTGTTGACCGTGAGAGACACCAAGAAAGATTGGAATATGAAATAGAAATAGAAAATTGGAAAACATGAACCAGCACCACCATTATTGGTTATGCATTCAGCCCTGGTGGTTTGACGACGCTTATAATGAGTGATGGAAAATAACAATAAAAGCCCACTCCCACTCCCCCAGTCATAAGTATAAATTTGTTTAATTAATTTCAAAGCTGTGAATTAGAATTCGCCGGAATCGGAAAAAATGGATCCAAGGGTTTTGCAGATGGTGACATGGAACCAGGAAAGGTACTGTTTCAAGAAGTTGGTGGGCGAGAATGCTGAAATTCTGAAGCAGAGGTCAGAAGAGACGGGCGACACGGCGCAGCACTTGGCGGTGAGGCACGGCGGCGTGGAGTTTGTGAAGGAGATCCTGAGGATGTGGCCGGAATCTGCGGCGGTGGAGAATCTGAAGGAGGAGACTCCATTACACGAAGCCTGTAGGGTAGGAGAAGGCGAAATCTTGAGTGTTTTGCTGGAGACGGTATGGGGCAGTTCAAAACTCACCAGCCGTTAAAATCGGAACCTCCTGTTGTTGGGCTGCAGCCAAGGACACGTGGATGTTGTGAAGATCCTTTTGAATGAGCGCGGGATCCACCACTCCAGCTCCGACCGTGTAGCTGCTTTTCTTGAGGCTGCCTCCCATGGACATCTCCGTATTTAATTTCTAAACCTTTCGCTTTTTACGTTAAGGGTCGAGCTTTTTATTTCTGTTTGTTTTTTGTTTTTTCTTGTTTAATAACAAATTCACTTTTTTATTTCTCTCTCTCATAGTTTCTTTCTCTTTCTAATTTATGTTTAAATTTTCTTATATCGAACCAACACTTCTCTTTCACTATAACTTTTCATTCTCTTTTTGTTTATTTATTTTTCTCTAACAAATATGTTTCAAATTCTTTCTATCTAAAATTTTTTCTCACTGTAATATTTGTATTTTTTCTTCCTGTTGAATTTTACTTTTGAGTACTTTAGCAATTATGGGAGGCTTGAGGTGAGGGAGATATTTTTTATATATAATTATTCTTTTTTAATCCTTAACTAGTTTAAGTTTGAACGTTGTGAACCGACTGACCATTTTTTGTATATATGGATTTACCACGTCATATTTCTGTTAATTTTTAATGGTAGTGACTAAATTGTAATCAATTTTAAAGTACAAACATTATTTTTGAAAATTCAGATACTAAATCGTTACTGTGTTGACAGTTTAGGGACCGAATGTGTAATTTAACCTAAAAAGAATATATTATATATACCACCTTTCATAATTCAAGTTGAATCTGCCCATGGAAGCCAACTTGGAATTTCCAAGTATTCTTTGGAAATTAACTTATATCAACCTCTAATCATTCTTAATATTAATGAATTATTGGTCGATATGTGTTGTCCACTTCAATATATCGATAAGAGGGGAATATTATTTTCCCCTCTTATTATTGAAATATCGAAAAAATCTAAGACAATTCAACAAAATTTTCCCTATACATTAAAAGGAAAAAAAAAACTTAGAGCTAGACCAAAATGAAGCCCAACCCACAATTAAAAATTAACCTAAAAATTATTGAGGAAAATGTGTAATTGATGAGGGAAGAAGGAGAGAGAGAGGAGAGTTATTGATTTTTTTTTTTACATGTTTTCTTTTAAATATATCTTCACATGGAAAATAATTATTGTTACATGAACTGGTAGGGTTAGTAGGATATCTCGAATGATCGTAGTATTTTTTTATTCTTTGTTAGAATTTTACTTTTGAGTTCTTTTAATTTAATCTAACTTTACTACTTCCTTTTCAAATTTAATTACAAAATTTTCAAATCTATTCTCCAATTTCTAATAGCTCAATTTCACTAGATCTTCAAAAGTCGTTTTTCTTATATTAATTAAGATATTTGTTCTTCAATTTCAATTACCTCTTAGTTATTGCTGACTTTGCCAATATATATTTAGATTAATCATCTTAAATAAATAATTATCACACAGAATAAAAAACACATTCGTTACAATTATTTAAGTTAATCAAGGCTTTACCAATTTTAAAAAGCTGTGATATCACAATTAGTTTTAGAAAAGTGCTATATTTACAAATATCTTAAAAATATATATAACCATTACAAGTTTCCAAGATACTGTTTGCATTTAGGCGGAAAAAACAAACATAATTTTTTAAGTGAAGGAGCGCGTGGGTTTGTTGACCGAGAGAGAGAAAGAGAAACGCAAACACCAAGAAAGATCGGCATATGGAAATTGGAAATAGGAAATTAGAAAACACCAGGAAGCAGCATTATTGGTCATGTATTCAGCCCTCGTGTTTGACTTGTAAGAATAAAACCCCACTCCCACTCCCACTTCCCCAGCATATATATAAATTAGTTTTTACGTTGAAAGCTCTGGAAAAAAAATAGGAAAGAGAGGAAAAAATGGATCCAAGGGTTTCCGAGGCAGTGACAAAGAACAAGGAAAAGCGTTTCAAGAAGCTGGTGGGCAAGCATGGGCGTAAAATAGTGCAGCAGAGATCAGAA